TTCTTGTTTTTTATTGAAATGCAAAGTAATTAAGACAACTAGCAATGGCTTTAAGCACCTAGCATAATTAATTATATAATAAATACTAGTAAATTAATCCTCAGCAGCAGTAACATCACTGGTCTCAAAATGATCTTGAAGACCCGTTAAGCTCTTGTGCAGTTTAGACACGTCATCATCTGTCAGCAGTTTCTAACCTTCTTTCCTGAAGATGACTTTGGGAAAAGTCACCACGAAGGAACCAAATTTAGTCTGTACCAAGATGAAAGTAGGGAACAACTATCCCTTGACACAGAGTACTCTCCTTCTTTTCTCCTTGTTTTTTAAGAAGGTGCTCTTATTAAACAGGTTTGTGATGAGAGCTGCTTAAGATAGGCTTGCTTAATTGGTTGGAATAACTTGAAAGGTTGATCCCTTAGACAAAACAGTAAGAAATGTGTCTGTCATAAGCAACACTTAGTTTTCACTTGGAAGCTGGTCAGTCAAGTATCATGTCCTTTGGAGGTGATGCTGTGCTGCCATGATAAACTACATTCTTTCTGTGGGTATTTGGTTTCTATCTTATACATTGGCAGTGCTTTTGGAAACACTGTATTCAGATAGGATTTACTTAATTAAATATGTTGATTAAAACTGAAAAAAAACCACCTAACTTCAGTACTTCAATATTTCAATAATTAAAATTTTTCAAACAGCTTGTCTTTCTTACCTCCCCTGCATTGTACAGTAAGTAATATAATTATTTTGACAGGATCCACCCAGCAAAAGTACTGCCATCTGCCTTCTTTGCAAGAGCAAGCAGAGTGGAAACTGGACTAGAAAGGAGAGCTCTCCAAGCACATTCCAGTCATGACTTGAAATTCACCAGGTGGTAAGTAAACTTGGTTATTTTCTTCCTGGGTATCACCCCAGTAGCTGCTCAGAACTAGTGGGACAGCATACCCCAAAGCTTCTCAACCAGTGACTGTAAAAGATCAGTCAAACTCTTTCCTGTTCTGGATCAAAAGCAGAGGTGCAGTTTAGTGCTCAGATCTTCCCCTTCCTGAGAGCACAACATTTTAGGAGCTCGATAACCATCTTCAGCTTCCTTGGAAACACTGAGTTCTCAGTTGTGGTTTTGTCCTAGGGGTTTGACATGTTTGCAAAAAATCAAAACAGGAAAGAAGTTTGTGAGCCAAACACAAGTTGGCTTTTCAAATTGTTATTAGTATGATGCACCATTGTACCAATATCTGTTGAACAGTTAATGCAACTAATCTTGCAGATAACCTTCCATTTTATTATCTTTTGTCCACTGCTGCTTTGTTGAAACCCCTTCCCTCGATGGCTGAGTTTTCAGATAAAATTTTGGGTTAAAGATTTCCTTCTCTGCAGTCCCAACATATTCTGCCCCAAACAACAGCAATCACAATCTGTAAGAAGTTATAAATGGTCACCATGCCTGAAAAAAGAAGGTAAAATGTGGCAGGAACCAATGAGGAAATGATGCTCAAAATGCTTCTGTGCTTTACAGAAGTTCTGTGATTACCTTCTTTATTCATGTCTCCTACAGCATAGCACCTTGCAGGTAGTATGTCACAACACAATGACACAGTTTGATAATAAACAATCCTCTCATCTGCATATACCCTGTTCATACTGAGCCTCATGTTAAAATTTGCCTGGAACTTTGGACTGCCAACCATTGAAAAGCTGTTGCTAAAGTCATCAACGCATTGAACTCAGGAGACCATCTGTCATTTAGTTCATTTGTGCCAAGATTTCAATCCATGCTTCTACTTGGAATCTTGATAAGCCCTTAAATAAATATTATTGATTAGTCATAATTATTTTTTACTGTTGATATCCAGAAGGTTGTGCAACCTTGCAGTTGGCTTTCTACACAGTTGACTGGGAAGTGTTTTATTATAATGCTTATATTGGCAACTAGGTACATCTTTTATTGCAGGTTCAGATTAAAACCTAAGATTTAAATAACTGAACAAACCAAAGCTGAAGCCAACTCCTTTCAACCTCAGGTCAGACAAATCCTCACCCACAAGACTCAGAAGAGATAAGCTAGGGATCTCATTTTGATACTGGTTTCCCATTTGGTTGGATATGTTAACCAGGCCTTGGTTGCCTGAAGGGGTTGTCTCAGCTTCAGATCCAGGTCAGAGAGATTAAGCTGCTTGACCGTCTGAGTGACAGAGCTAAATCTTCCTATGTCTGAGAGTAACAAAATCCATACCTCAGGGTATGAACGTATGTATGTTCTGTGCACCCTGAGGCAGGGCTCTGGAGGGTGTATGGGGCATGAGGGGACCACAGCTGCTTGCAGCCTGTCTGCCATGTAGTGTAGTTGATCAGGTGCTGAGTCCTTCGACAAAAGGTGGTATCAGTTCTAGTGCCAGTTGTGTGCTTCATCTCACAGGGGGCTGCAGGTTGTCCAGTAACAACACAGAGCTGCTGAAGTCACTCAGCAGAGCCCTGGCTGGGGACATGTGCTCAGAAGTGCTCTCGAACCAGAGTGCACACACCAAACTTAGGTCAAGGATGGTCCCAATGATGTGCCATGCAAAACTCCACTGCTGGGCACACTTCTTCTGATGCAGCCCAGGATGTGATTTGCTTTACTTTAGAACCAGATGGTTTTGGCCAATTCAGTGGAGAAACTCATAGGAAAGAAAGCACTGCAGGCTGAGATGTGGGAAAGGATGAAGGGAGAGGTGATTTAGTCCAGTTCTGTGGTGGTTGTTTTTTTTCCTAACTCAACATTGACAGCCTAGTATTTTATGATTCTCTCCTCTACAAATGCACAGAGGGTCAAGTGCACAACCAACAGCTTCCTATTCTGAAATTCAGGCTTTTAAAACTTACTGTAAGGCAACTTTTCAAAGTGTGTTCAGCATTCACTGAGTTCTCTGCAACTCAGTCCCCTGTTTTTTTAAAAAAATATACAGGGGTTTTTTTTCAAAGAAAAAACCCAGATGATTTCCACAGTATATATTGTGAACTGTGTGTGTATATTCTCCACTAATTCAGGTAAATTCTGTATGTTCCTCATTCTGCTTCTTGCTCCTAGATCCATGTACTAGTCCCTTGCAGAGTGCTTCCTACTCCTGGAACCAGTTTCACTCTTTGTGACCTCTTCTTGTTTCAAAAAGGACTGTAAAGTGTCTGCTTGTGTCCTCATGTCATGACTTGTTTTAATTTCTTTATAGCACTTTTTGATTACTTCAATACTATTACCTTTAAACACAATAGGAAATATTACCTATTTATCTAAAAACTCTCTATAGCCTGATCAGGTTTCAAACCTTCACATGCTGGAATACACAAAATAAGCCATGTATTATGATTCTGATTTGTATGGAAAAGCACCTTCCTCCAAACATGATCTCATAAGTAAATACATAAAGGAAATTTACCAGGTAATTTTCATAATTAAAAAGTAGGCATGCACATTCTAAAAGCTAAACCCTGATTCACAGCAATTAATAATGAATAACTAATATAATGGACTTTAGTTTTAAATTATTACATGAAAGTCTGAGAAAAATACAATCTTGTTGAGGCTCAATTTGTATCCTAGCAAACAGTTTTCAGCAATATGAAAATTTGAATAAACATCGAAAAAGTCACTATTTAGTAATGAAAAACTTTGTACCTATATTGAACTTAAAATGTTGATGTTATCCATAAACCTCCTTTTGAAACATAAATAGATGAAATCTCTTCACTGGAGATTTGTGTGGCCCTTCAGACACAGATTTATTTCTGTGTATATTGTTAGATCTGATTAGCCTGCACCAAGTGAAGTTATATATAATTTGCTGGAAAAGTACAGGCAAATGTCACAAAACATACAGTTAAGAAACTGTAATCCCGTTATGTGCAGATTCAAACCCTACAATTCTATTTTTTTATTATTTTGAAGCAAATTAAATATGAAACATTTGGTCTGAGTAGTCAGAAAAGGAGAAAAATATCAGAATCTGTAACTTCACTAAAGAACAAAGTAATGTCTGTCCAGCAGTCTACTAGAAAATAAGCTTTTGTTTCTCAGTTTTATTAAATTATTTTTGCAACCATGATAAATAACTATCTGATATACAAATTCATCATTTATCTACAGACTTTCTATTTTTTTTCCCAATATTAACAACTGTTTATAGTGTATAAAGGAATGCAGACAATCACAAGGCAAACAGGCATAAAAGTTCAGACATCTCTTGCCTCTCCTCTCCTGCCATTAATTTTATGATACACGTATCCACAGACCTACCCTTGTCCTCCCAGAAAAAAAGGACCTATTTTTCATATATATGTATATATTAAAAGCCATGATTAGAACAATTTCATTCTCTTGCTTCCTTATTTTCCCATTCCTCCAAGTGCATATTTGATTGCAAGGGCTTAATAATTTCTGAGTTCTGTATATATCAAACAGCAAAAGAAAAAATAGTATTATTCTGTATTTTGTTCATCAGAATCTGGAACAAATACAGATTTCACATTGCCAATTGTTATTTGACATAAGAAAATTTTTTCAAATGTCTTCAGTGAGGTGAACAGGGTCTTCTATCACACTGAGATTAGGCAGCATGTCATCCTCCTCTTTTATAGATTTTTAGTTTCTAAAGAAAACAGGAAAAGGGAATATCTGCTTCTAAACAAACACATGATACAAAAATATTCCACGTATAGGGTTTTCTTTCTTATCCAAAGAATATTCCTTCTTTTCAGTCTACGAAAAATTTTACAAAGAACAAATTGCTGCACTCATCTGTATTTCCTCTTAGCTATTGCAAGTTATTTTCAGTTCTGTAGAAACTGTTCTATCTATCTGCTTTAAGATACATGTATATATGTGCTGAAGAAAGAAAGGGAACTAAAGAACTAATTGACATATATTTAAAATACTATCCGCAAACCACAGACCAAGGATAAGATAAATTCTATGTATTTTTTTTTGTCCTTGCTTGTCTTTATTCAGCAGAAGCTAAAGATGATTTTGAAATAATGATTCATTTCTAGCAGGAGATCATTTAGCATTGTGTTCTTTATTAGGACTTCATTATTTTTACAAAAATAGAATAGAGCATTAGTCTTTATTAGTGCTTAGTTTAATATACAGTTCATTTATTTTGAAAGGAGAATTCTGGGATACAATATATTTAGTTCATTATTGGTGGTTTGTTAATTGTTAGTTTATAGCAGGTCTTCTGGTCACCACACAAATTATCAAGCTTCTGCTATTACATATTAAAAACAACACAGATGTCAGAAAGCGTTTTTCTAAATAAGTTAATTTAGGATAAACTATCATGTTGTAGCAAACAAGGTCAAGAGTCCCTTTAAGAAGGAGACTATTTCATTGCCTCCCAGTTTAGATTCTCCATAGACACGGTCCACAAATGAAATAGGAACCTGTTGAAACAAGCAAAACTATTTTTAAGGTTCAAAACCTAAATAATCAGACACTCTGTAAAAAAAAGAATGGCCTTTGAACTATAGCATGTTTAGACATGGTAAGAAGGCAAGCACCAGACTGGCTTCCTTTGTGTTAGTTCTTACCAGTGGCTTTAATGTTGCCCCATAGCTGGGGAGAATGAAATTGTTTGGTTTATCACCTTTAAAGATGATCCAAAGACATTACTCAGTGGCTGGATGATACACCAGTCAGAACAAAGTGAATAGCTCAGGTGCACTAAAAGCCTGGGGGCTTAAAATGAACCGTCACCAGTTTCCTTGTTAGCTAAATTCAACACCTGCCTCAGTAAGGCAAACATGTCCTACCACCATGGAACAGCACTCTGCTCAGCCTCAACACTGGCCAGAAGATGACATCTGAATAAGGCAGTTAGTGCATATTTTACAAGCAATGTCTTATTGGTCTTTGACCATTTAATAGATTATTTAAAGGACTGAAGGCATTTAAAACACCAATTCTGATTACCTTACTGAAGTGATCATACTCTCCAGATTAACTCAGTATTCATGTCAGGAACATAATGCTTCTCAGTAATTTGACCACGTACAAATGACATACGACAGGACATTTGGCCAACACTGTATTAGAATATTTAAGAATTTCCATACATATTTGTGTGCAAAACTGAATTACTTCAGGGGCTAAAATAAAGAATTGCAATTGCAAAAGTCATTAAAAAATTGGCTTAGCATTCTGCTGGCAGTTTCAACCAGAAATCGTCTGGCAAGTAGAACACAAGAATCACCACACCCTTGCATCTGTGCCAGGACTGAGGATTTCTCACAATTCCAGCAGATCAGTCCATGGTAGAAGAAAATCCAGGGCAAGAAGACAGTAAGAAGATCAATAAAAAGGCATGGAGATAGACTCAACAACAACACTAGCCTTCCTAGTAGGATCCCTTTGATGATTCCAGTAAGAATCCTGGCAACTACAAACAGCTGATCTATGGGGCATGGACAGAAATCGCGGAGTATGTCAGTGCAGGGTGTCAGAAATGACATTTCCTGACCAGTGATGAAAAAATGATTAATATCTCATCTAATAAAACATATCCAGTCTTTCCCTTCAGTACAGGAGTTAACTACCTGTCTTGTTGCTGGACATTGCCCTTCTCACATACGAAGTTCTAGCATTTGTCTTAAAAGCAGCATTTTCAAAGGATGTTTTTTCCATGTACTGTGATACATTTCACATATGGTAAGTAAGTACAGCAAAATGAAACACAGGAGCACACGAGATTATTCAGGTATAGCTTGTGCCAATTCATCTCATTATCCATTTGTTCCTTACACACTGGCAGGTCTCAATCTTAGTTTTCAATTCTGCTTAAGAAATATTTGATCCTCACAACCATATCTACATTTTACAACTGCATAAAAATTCCTATTCTGCCTATAGAGTTGCAGTACCTGCAAACCAGGAATTAGACACGCAAGTGTCACCTTTTCTGGAATTTCAGTATTAATAGATCATAAGTACTGATCAGGAAATACTGTATCAATTTACTTTAAATGTAATGGAAAATTGTGCTGCCCCAGGAAGCTATGACATTGATGATACATAGCACAGTAAAAATACAAGTCTTCTTGATAGGCTCTTGTCAGCAACCTGAGGACTGTCAAGTGTGTTAGAGAAGCCACAACAGAAATCTTACAGACAGGGTGGAAGCAGAATAATGAAGCAACTTTTCAGTTGTTAGAGAGAACACTTCCCACGTGTGAGAAACCAAAGGAGCAGGAAAGATCATGCTTACTGGAGGATGTAACAGATGAATTGTGGAGGATGGCCTAACTGACCCCTCCCAAAACGATGCCCACGTCACACCACTGACTGGGAGACATCAGGCCTAGTGAAGACTGTGTCAGGCTTTGAACTGGAGAACAAGTATCATATTTGATGCTATACAACTAGCAGAGGCATGTACATAAATTAGTGGTGGGATCAAATAATAGGAGAGGAAAAAGCAGCAGCCTGAAAAAGTACAAGCAACTCAAGATTGCATTTTTTTTAAAGTTAGAGAAGTGTATTTCACTTTTTAAAAAATGTATAGTAAATAAAACCTCATCTCATCCCAGGTTTCAGTATCTGGATGAACACAAGTGAGGATTTAATTCAGCAATATTAGCACACTATATGCGAGTACAGCTGGAGGTGAAAACCAAGGAAATTTAGGGTCAACCCCCAGCTACACAGGATAGTGATGTTGCTCCATAAGCAAGAAAGAGTGGAAGAAATTGTGTGGAAACACTTTGCTGATAGAGAAATGCAGTAAGTAAGTTTTTGAGAGAAGGACCAACAACAGAATTCTCTGACAATTCTCAGTCATAAAAATGATTATAAAGAACTGGTTCTGAGATTTGGCTGTGGAGAGAATTCCAGTGAATCATCTTTAAAGACACCAGCAAGAGCAATTCAATGAAATACAAAAGGCAGCAATCAGATTGCTGGAAATATAGGATCTATCAATCGTTCGGTGTTCTTTTACAATGGTTGTAGCTGGTACATTCAAAGAGTTTAAAAGTAGAAAGTTGTGATAGCTGGGAAGTTGGAAAATAACAAGGCAATAAATGACAGAGAACAGAATAAATCTGAAATAGAATCAGGCTGCTGGAGAAAACAAAATGATTTGAAGATACCTAACTAGAGATGTCTGTACAAAATGAAGGAGGAAAGAAATGGCTCAGAGCAGCTCCATGGTATATTTTCACTTTTTTCCCAACTTTGTAAAATTATATGCAGCCAAAGAAATGGCGACAGGAATAGAGACTGATCTGACAAGCACATCAGCCATAGGAATAAGTAAGTGGAATTTCAGACCTGGTATGCACCTGGAAGAGTTGGAAACAGAGAGTTCTACGTATGTAATTTCTTTGTATCAATTTGAAAATCTTGCTTCTTCTTGTGAGAACACAAAATTTCCTATGCTCCCAGTAATCTGTATGTACATTTAAATGCAAGCACAATATACTTATTAAAACCTTTACTATACCTCTCCAATAGTATATCCTAACTGTCTAGCCCGAACAATCATCTCCATCTGGAAGACGTATCCTTTTGAAACACATTTTTCCATTAGTTTCTGTAACACTTCTTTTCTGTATAACCTGTAAATGATTAGAAAGAAAATGAAACCTAAAGCACAATTTCTGAACTTCAGAAATCAAGATAATGTGTTGAAATCTTAACTGTGATGAGTCACGCATATCACCACTATTTAAAAAGAATCTTTAACAAAGTCATAGGAGCAGCAGTTTTTGCAATCTAGTCTACTGTTTCTTACACCCTTCCAAAAAGATTTAATAGTCCTCACTAAAAAAGGTCTGTTCTTACTCCAGTTCCTTGTTCAGCAGTTTCTTAATTATAAATAAACTTCACGAATTGAAATCAGACCCATACCTGAAACTCCCTGTTAAATCTGATGCACCTGGTCTCAGCAAAATCTGAGTTAGAAAATTGGCACCACGACTGTGAAAGAAAACATGAATGTTAAAATTGCTCAGTACACAACTCCAAGACATCAAGCAGAATTTCTAGAAAGCAAGTATCATCCTAGTAGGCAAAAAAGAAACTTTTTATTGCTTAATATGAAACAACGATATTTGTTTCCAGTGCTAGATTTGACTAATAAATACTCATTTTAAGCCAAAACTCATAATTTTAGTTTTCAAATGTTGTTGATTAGTAGTTCCCTTCTCTATGAAGGGAAAAACAATGATTTTTAGGAATTAGGTTTACAACCTGTTTCTCTATGGTAAAGCTGTCAGTACAACTACACACTAATGCAATACAAAAGAAATATGACAAGAGTCAAACTAACATTTTCTTCTCACTAACATTCACTGTAAGCAGAAAATAAGATGCTTCCTGGACAAATGTGAGACTTGGATTTAGAAAATCATGGTTCAGGTTTAGTTTACACTACTCTCATAGTGCAATAAAGCTCAACAAAACCATTGTGAGGTTGAAAAGCCAGCCATGACTGTCTTGCTGAGGGTTATGTTACACACTGAAGATGTGCAAGTTCTTCACCAGTATGATGTACAAGGATTCATCTCTAATGTCAACTTACCTCTCTTCCTTTTTTTGAGTGTGTATTTTATTTAGATACACAAGAAGATAAGCACTTATTCCAGCCATTAAAAGCAAGAGCAATCCAAATACAGTCCTTGTTGATACCATCTCCAGATCAGACTGGCAACACAAATTCTGCTCCTAATTATTTACAATAGCTTATACATCAGCCTTAACTTATGCCTATTCTCTTAAATAAACCATATGAGAGAGACTTTTTGCAGAAGAAACTTGCTGATTACCTCCTGAAAATCTTTAGGTCCCTGTAAACCAGGGATTCCACCCTCCATACGCTTATACAATGTTGACATAATTTTTTCCTCTTTGCTTTTGGGAGAAACTTCTCCCCAGTGCTCAGCATAACCACCCTCCAGTAAGGTCTAAGTAATGATTTATTGACATTGATCGTGCCAAATAATTCTTAACTTAGGACAAATCAGAGGGTCAACAGAGGGGTTTAGTAAGTAATTTACTGTTTAGGGAAAAGATCACTATAGATCTTAAAACCATCTAAATGTGTCTTTTAAACTTGACAAAATGTCATAGCCTCCGCTCATTCTTTCGATGATGAAGCTGAAAATCTGCACCACTCTGATACCATGTACATTTGTCCACTGTTGGACCCATTTCTCAAATCTTCTAATTACATTCTTTTTTGGTGGGTTTTAACCCAGGAATTTGCAAATCATGCATGCTTCTATTATTTCATATAATTTTCCAGTACCCAGTGTTATTGACTACATTCTCAGTACAGCTCAAACAATTCATTATTTGAGTACCTGGAAATCTTACACATTTCTAACTAACAAATTTATATATAAATATCTAGAAAAATACTAACCTGATTAATTTTCTTTTCAAATCCCAGCCATATACTCCTCCATTTCCTTGATATCTTGTTCCAGACACAATATCAAAATTGCCTTCTTTCTGCTTTCTACAAATAATTGGTTTTGTCAGAAAAATGGGAGAAATATTTATATGAAGGTAGTACACATTTCAAAATAACAATAACTCTTTCAGTACAAAACCTGTATTTTACAAACCTTTGAAAAATAAGTAGAGGAAAGCAAGAGTTACAGCAGTTATAATAACCATTATGCGTATAAAAACCTGCTAATTGTTCTCTTAAAAGGAACTATTTTAGGGAATCTTAGTGTATTTTTCCAGCTATATCAGAGAATTTCACAGACTGCTTCATAAATAATTTATGAAGACTAACTCATGTTTATGTCTATACTTTTCAAAGCTGAACAATCATTACAAGGAAGAGAAGTACTTAACCACACATACACTCTTCTACTTGAAACTTCAGGACTTTTGTTCTGGTTAGAAACTAATTATTTTTCTGGATTATTTTGGGACAAATCTGATGAGTTGCAATCAATTTTATTTGAATTCTTGCCTTGCCATTTTTTTTCACTATAGCTAGACAGCTATACAAGAATATAAATGTTCAGAAATAATGTCTTCATACTACAGTTGGCACCTACCTGATAAACTCTGGAATAAATTTTGGCTGAAATGGAAGGAAAACAGATCAGAAAAGAGAAAGGGGTGGGAACAGAAGATATAAATTAATTATAGCAGACTAAAACCACAGTACATAAACTACAGACTTACATGGTGAGAGAGGTCAGCATCCATAATAACAATAAAATTCCCAGTGGCATGCTTCATTCCATGAATATAAGCAGTACCTGATGAAAACAGCACAGGAATAATTTTCCTCACTATCTTAACATATGCAATCTGGCCACTTATTTCTAACCGGTCTAAGTTATACTAGAAAAAGATCAACTAAAAACTCCTAAAATTTATTTTTAAGTGTATCAGTGGTCAAACATTAAAATTACTTTTCCTTTTCCC